CTATTATGTCTTCGAGATTCATCATCACCAGCAAAAAATTGTTTAATTTTTCTAGTAAACATAAGCCTTCATAACAGAAATTAAGTTTAAAGATTTTCCTTTGATATTAAAGGAGATTTTTCTTATTACTACGAAACCTTTTCAATATCAGTCTCTCAGTCTCTATCATTTTGGTTCTGCATAGTGAATCACTTCCATCAAAAAAGTGTGTTATTAATACGTTACTATTTCTACATTATACACGCATAAAAAAAATCGTCACAATTTTCTACCAGCTTACACATGCTCACATAAATTAGGCTTTTTGCTACAATAACCTTGTTTTACGACGTTTATTTAGGCGTACTAAACAATAAAAGTATCACGCGATCTCTGTACACGACAAAAACATACCAACTTGTATGAAACTATGAATCATTTTGGCATTTACAATATTGTTAATACTTGCCTTACTGCATACCTGGAGTCCTTAGAGTCGTAAGTCGTACCCTAAATAATGTTTTATAAGAATTCGTTTATCAGATGCCGAGATTTTCTTCAAATTAGATTTAGTTATTCCTGAGATTCAAACAAATAAACTTTTTTACTATAGTATATTATTAGGTACCTATCTAAAGGTTTCTTTAAGGCTAAGTAGGTACTGGTGTACTTGTTGTACTAACACGTGTAAAAAAGTTGTGACAATCAAGTTCCAAACAGGTTATATCGATATATCCAAAACTGTTTTTAAATTATTATTTTTATTCGGTTACATGGATTGGATTCATTGCAATTATGTAAATGAGAATTCACAGATCCTGTTAGGAACTAATGAAGAGAACAGTACACGCTGGAAGCTCAATTTATTGAACTTTTTACAGTAGTATTTGAAACTAATACATACAGTTATTAAGAATAATGTTTTTAAATGAGCTTCCGACATCGGCATTTCAATCAAGTACATTTTAACTAGATTTTATATAAAACTTGTCGGGATATATCAGAAAAGCTACAGGTGAATACACGAATTCATATATCGTCACTATATAGCCATTTATTGTCACTATTCAATCTATTAGTCTTAATAGATAGACTTTTAATGCGTATTGTAACCACTCACGTTATAGGTATATTTGATGACATCAATGAACATCTATGGACCTGTACATTAATATAATCTATGCAATTATACAGTGCATACACCTCTAGACCTACATTAGAAGACTAGTCTAAACTCTCGCATACGCCTGACCAACGGCGCTTAGCTACAAACGTAACCACCAAAACTCAGTGTTGCCACCCACAAGTGCGCATACACCGTACACGCAACATGATTAATATGTGCCCAGTGCACCGAGTTTATAAATAATACAGTTTAAAAACAATGAACGGTACGTTGATCGTAGCGTGGAGAAATCTAAACATCACAACCCTAAATAAATTGCTATTAGTATGCATACCGGAGCAACAAACGCAGCCAAAATCGTACAGTCTGTGATGGTGTAACCGCGTGAGTGAGGTAGTAATGGACCGGGCACGGGGTTCGTTCGCCGATAAAAGCGAAAGTGCTGCGTTCAGTGGGACAACGACCGGCTCCTGCGGATAGCCCTGTCGGTTTCCTGCATCCAGGTCATCATCATCAAACATTGGCGACTGCGTCACCGACCTCTTGTTAGTCAACGCGCCCACGCGCTCAGAAACAATATACCACAATGTTTGCTTATGTTACCTTAGCACCTAGGTACATGTACGTTTTATAAATGTGATCACTTTAGTCACAAATTCTTTTTATGCTTAAAAATATCCATGAAAATATTATGTCATTTCATGTATGTAACAGTCACTTATATTGGTCGTAGAGCAATTTCAAGTCCGAATCGATCGTTAAAATGATGTATCCCTTGTGACTACAAAATCCACATAGCAATATCGAGATATCGTAATGTTTGCTATGTATAATTCATAATATAATATTTTGTGCGCAGTATAAGAAACTGTGCTGTTGCTGTTACTAATTAATTTTCTCATGGAATTTAAAACTTGCTTCTGAGTTCAACGAACTATGCAAGTAGGTACAGTTGCGTGCAATAATTGGTGATTTGTCACTTTTAACGATTTCTTTAATATAAAATATTGGTTTGTAAGATAAATTCAAATTAATTTTCGTAACGCAACGTAACTTTATTTAATTTATGCACATTGCACATACTTACATTGTAAATAAATACAATATTTTATGTGTTGTAAATACCTGCTTACTGCGGTAAACCCAACAGGATAAACTTATAGGTAACTTTGCGTAAGTATACCTACATTTATTGTAAGTTAAGATAATAACGAAGGTATTTGACCTATCATTTAGAAATACTTAGTTTAGGAAAGTCTTAAATAAACTTAGTTAAACTTAATATAGAGGTAATATAACGCATATTAGTTACACAGAGGGTAGGCAGAACTGTAGCTACCTAAGTACTTAATCACAGAGCACAACACAATTCCTTAGCGTCAATTGGGTTTTTATTGTTTTTGACAGTGGAAGATGTATATGTGGTGTACCTACAGTAGGTACTGTTATCACAGATTATCACATTACTCGAAGCTTTAACTTTAAGGGTCGAAATTATCACTTAAAATGGCTTTCCTAGCGATACTTACGGGTACCTAAGCAGGTACTTAGAGTTTAAACTGGTCTGTGTTCTCTAGTGGTTGATTACTAAAGCAGGGGTTGTATCAAAAATACAAACAAAATAGGGCATAAAACAAAAAAATAACTTGGTACAAAATTAGTTATCAGATTACTACGTACAATACGTACATCCTGCCGGACCCAGTGCGTTGGTCGTATTCTACAACCCTCTGAATATTACATTCCTCATCATCTCATAACACGATCCTTCATCCCATAAAATTAAATATTCAAGCCGCGAGACGTCCATTAGCCTCTGGAAAATTAAAATGGCCTACGAGCTGTGAATTTTGCAAAAAGTTAAGCAATAACTTTGGAAGCCAACAATAACTCATTTATATGCAAGTTCATTACAAATTGCTTGAATATACATGTGTTTTTGAATATGTAAATGAAACTGTATGCTCTACTCTACCAACTGAAAAATCAACGAAGAATTAAAATTGTAATGTCGCTCGCGCTTGAAGTGCCACCACGCGGCCGAGAGTGGAACTAAACAAGAAGCAAGCTTCGGGTAATATCGTTAGCGGGCGCTCAACGACGGAAATGTTTTTCAACATTCATGTTTTTTCCACTCTTCTGAGCTAGTTAATTCTTACGACTAGCAATATCTGTTGTTCTGTGTTGCTTTGTTATTGTTATGTATTGATTTTTTTTATATTGTAGCTATTGGCTCGCCAGGAGTTGTAAATTACTTACGTAGGTACCTACCTAACTATATACAACATAGTAACTGTTGAAAAAGAGGTTACATATTCCCAGGTAATGGTATAGGCAGATTACTTTAAACGCTTGAAAAGTATAACATCCTCCTATTTTGAACTCGGTTAAAAATGTTTTAAACTTTCCTTTAAATTGGTGCTATAAATAAACTCAGATAAGGCGTACTACAGCATAATATTATAATTCAATGTACATTTTCAAAACAAACATCACATTTCACAATTCGCTGTGGGTGTCGGCAACACTATTAATTCAGTACGTGAAACGCCTGCAGAAATACGAAAGTGTAGACAACGAGACATATAGCTATTTAACTTTGCCAGGCGCTTTGTTGTCTGGAAAACCCCCACAGATTGCATCGATCCAATAGCATTTAATGTTTTAAAATATAGCTAGTTATCGTGTACGATTCCGAGTTTCTCTTGACGGTATAAAACAGTAGTAAAATAGAAACATCAATTCATGCTACCACACGATCCGAAATGTTAGGCGAACCTGCTTTTAAAACGAGCAGATACGTAAAATTATTGCTCAGTAAGATATAAATAAATTCTGTTCTTGTTATTTATCATTTTAATCCGCTATTTATCTTTTAATTGTGATAAATTCACATTACTTAACATTTAAACCAATCTCCAGATCAGCAAAGATAAAGTAGTAAATAGAAATCCTGCTAATTAATCTAAGTAAGTAATACATAACACAAAGAGCCGAATATGTATTAAGGCCATACAACACAGGCAATCAAGCCTCTAGACGTCATAATTAACTTGGATTATGAACGACTGCTGAATAGCGACCTTGCTAGATCATTGTTGAAAATTACGATAGAGGGTGTGAGCGTCGAGCGCCTAAACATTTTAATTCTAGATCCTCTTTATTATTTTTTATATTATGTTATTATTGTTAAGTACTGTACCTTTTCATACATTACAGAAAAGTCTTGCAGGTACTGGGTAGATCCCGCAAAGCGTAATCAAAGAAATATTTTAAGACCGAAGTGTTTTTATTTGTTACGTACCTAACTAGGTACTATCTAAACTTGTAACTAATTCCCTCTTATTAACTTCAAAAATATGTTCAACCATTATTTACGCCAACAGAATGTAAGGATTCTATGAAATAATGAAACCTTAAAAAGTTATAGCAGGGCCGGAAACTTGCCGTCTATGGCATCTATTGAGTGGTCTGTCTCTAGCATTGTTACAGACAAGTACCTATTATCAATAGCCTCTACATAGCTACTAGTCTATCGTCATCACGTTTGCTGTAATAAAAATAAACATTTGCTAAACAAACAACAAAGATTTGATGGATGATAGTGGCGCATTCTCATCTATGTTTACTGCATTGTTCAAATTTCCCTCTTGCCAGTGGAGACAGCTAGTCGCGTACCTGTCTGAGCAGCGCAATCGTTACCGAGGCGCGTCGGTCTGCATCGGCGGGCATGCGCACACCAACGACACGAGCGTTCGACCAAGTTTAGTGAGAAGCGAGGAGGAACGGCACTGCACGCTGGCTGCGAATGGTCGAGTAGAGCCGCCGCGCCGCGCCGCCCGCTCCCGCAGTCCGCCTGCCGCGCCGGTTCTGCGCGCTCCACGCTAACCGCATCATGGTGAGTCATTGCTACAGTGCGAATCTATTCATTTACGACGACCTTTAAAGTTTAGACAAAATATAAATAAAGCGATACGCTCCATTTAATACAGCAAATGCCAGGCCGTATAACCGCTCCAAATAAATGCTTCGAGTAATCCCCGTCACAAAATGGCATTAACCTAATTATGTGGTGTTTGATCACACTTAAAGAAATCGAGGAAACTGCGTACCGATCCCAATGAAGGTCAACCACTAAAGGCACTCGTACTTGAGATCTAACGTGATGTAAACATAATTTCAGGTAATGGACAACCGTGCGAATGAAGATAACGAGACGGAACACAACTCTTCAATTTTTATAACCAATTTTCAAAATGGAGACGTCGTGAACTATTCCTTAGTTTTGATTAAGGGAATCATAACAAGAGGCAATTCTAACAATCATGAAAAACTCACGTGCACATTAAAAAGTGAAAACTTTCAAAACAAAACTCAATGGGACGTTTACAATGGAGAATTTAAAGTGATCATAGAACTTTTAAGAGGTGAAAATGTTATTGAACTGGAATACGCTGAACAGCAACGAAAAACGTTACTCTTGGATTATACCCCACGAAAAACAAATCTGCGAGTAACTCCAGTCTACATCATATGTCAAGGTCACGACGGATGTTTTCAAAGTCCACCAGATGTTGACAACTCGATAGAAAGTGCCTGTTCTCGAATTGCGATTGGTTCAAAATTAATCCAATGCTTAACAGCAGAAAAACTTTTTGAGAGTGGCATAGGAAGAAAAACATTCCAACTCGAACATGAAGTCAATCCTAAGAAACCAGAATGCATTGTGTTCAAAAGCAGCCTCAACGTTAACAAGGCCAGAAAAATGAAACAAACCGAGTTATGGTCACATTTTGGAAGAGAACTGATGCTTTCTGATTTAGGAAGTAATGAAAGAAAATTCTTGGGCTTTATATCCTGCACTCGATTCAAAGGTACTGATGTTGATAAGCCCATGACACACGAAGAGATTGTATCTCTTACTGAAGCATACGCTGCATTAGGAGGAGGAGGCTTGGCTCTTTTCGGAACAGCTTGTCTGTATACCTGGCCCACGACTGTGGAAGAAATCATTCCAAAATTCTTAGATGCGACTCCAGTAAACGTAAGGCGATTCATGGACGACAGTGGATATCGAGGAACATTAGGCGGATGTTTCGCAACTACCCTGGGTTCAGTATTCCATGAACTCGGTCACACATTTGATCTCGGGCACACCAAAGATGGTATTATGGGAAGAGGTTTCGACAATATAGACAGAGTATTTGTAACCGGGGAAAAACGCTCAGCTCTAGTGAAAGATAACATGAATAACTTCAATGGAAAACCAGTACAACATTCTACCGTTTCACTACAGCGTAATATAAGTGTAACTATGAACGTTGCGGAGCCTTTGCGGGTTTTAGGACCAAGAAGCAAAACAACGTTAGGTAACTTTGCTGCAATGTCCAAATCTGATATTATAAGAAGAAGCCCAAATGTGACTCCTATAACTAGACCATCTAGTGTCTATTCAAATATCACAAATAGGCTTACGGATTCAAAGAAAAACATTAATCGGACCAACGGGAATGATTCTATTTATTGGACAAGAAATTGTGCTGTGTTACTATCCTACCATCGGTGGTTCAATAATGAGTATGGAAGAGAAAGACAAGCAATAACAAGATATTTAAAATTTGATAAAAATAAAATGATGATCATTTCCACAGCCGGCATTAGAATAGTAGAAGTACGAGACGAATCAAATGGGATGGTTTTAGATTCATATGAATTTACTAATCTTGTACCAGAAAAGAGATTCTTGGTTCCATTTACTTTTTCTCCTAAAACCAAAGTGTTGACAATAGTAGTGGAGGATGATTTGGGAAACGTGCTAAAACAGACATTCTCATACTAAATAGTTGGCGTAACAGTATTAGGAAAGTTGACAATAAAACTGAAGAAAGGTAAAGTTGGAAACAAGAAGAATTAAGTATTACACATTATAGAAACGTAAAATTAGTGTTTCCTCATCTAGAAATATTTGTAGGGGAATAAGAACTGTACATAAGTGAAAAGTGAAGAAACAGTGGTTTATTCCTGTGCGTGCATAATTTATTTGAATGGTAACCCTAAATGATAGTGGGCAACTGGAAAATATGACATTTGTATGCTTCTGAAAATAGCATTATTTTGTTTCATAATTTTGATATTGATAAACACTGAAGGAATGAGTCATGAAATGAGTGAGATATACATATATATATTGGGCACATAACTTTTTTATCAGTACTTAATCAATGCTAGTTGTATCTCTGTACTGAAAATGGCTAGTACCTCTACAAACGAGCTCTGTTTTTTCCTCCGTATAAAACATTTTCCACCGGTTATAGATGGAAGAATTAATATACAAGAATTTATAGAAGCATCTACGGATTTAGTTGCAGTAGTAGGTACGTATGCGTGCATTTAATAATTAACTAAAAGAGCCGAACTCTTTGTTTTATCGCTCTTTTAATTTTTAATACTTATTTATTTTTTTCAGAACGCCTTGGCTCAGTATTCGCTCCTGTAAAGTTTGATATGCAAGGAAATATCGACGTAAGTATAAAAAATGAGCGATGTGTAATTCATCCTTAAGTATATAAAATTGCTAGGAAACTTAAAATATCAATCTTGTTTCAGAAATTAAAAAATCTTTACAAATATGACGACAATTCTTGCTTACTGGAGCTAATGCTTGCTGAAAATGCTAATGGTTCGCCTGTTGCAGCTGAAGGTGTACTGTGGCTAAACAGGTGTGTAACATTTTATTCATAAAAGTATATGTAAGTACTTGTATCCTGATTAATTAGTAATTATCACAGAGATAATATAATAATGATGCATAAGTACATCTACATAAGTACATTTATGGCTTAGCTGGCATTTTTCAATAACTACATAAGTCTTGTTGAAATTATTAATTTAGCCAGTGACTGATAACACCTACATAACAATTGACTCAGCTGTTTCAGAATTTATAAACAAGGAAAAATATATTCATAAAATAAAATGAACAATGTTTTTGAAAGATGCATGAATTTATTTCTCTTTTTCCATTTACAGGGCCTTGCTATTTTTTGAGATTTTGTTTTCACAAATCCTGTCGCACGTTCAAGCCAATGATATTGATATAAATATGAAAAAAATATTTACTGTGGCTTATGAGGGGTCTGTGAAAAGATATCACAACTGGGTCACCCAACAAATATTTTCTGTAAGTATTAATCTATTTTTAATAATGGTTATTGATTATTGATAATCTTATTTAATCAGTACTTAAAATCATTTTATGTCCCTTACTCCAGTTCCAATCAGTTGCACACTATAAAATTAGACAAGAAAATTCTACCACAATTTTTATTAGTTGAATTCAATATCAGATCTCAAATTCCTTTCTCTTATAATGCTAGAGTACAAATTCATCTCCCTACATGTTTAGTGTTGACCTTATAGTGTTGACCTTATCATAACATAGTAGTAACTATAAATAGATAAATAAACAGAGACTTATTTTTATTTACAGTTTATATGTAAAATGTCCCCGACTCTTCCTCAAGTAATGAAATCTTTTGAAATGGACAATGACTTGAAAGGATTCGAAACAAAAATTGAAAGCTTCCACAAAACTTTGCATTTAGTTAGACAGAAAATTGATGAGTTCTTTACAGAGAATAATCTATTCACTGAACAAATAAAGAAGTAATTATTTATTGAAAAAATTGTCAATTTATTATTATAAAATCTAATGTACTATTTGACTTTGAAATATATATTTTTTTTATTTTAAGCATAATTTTATTAAGGTATAGTATGAGTGAATAAGAATGACAAGTATTTTGAATGCTAAATTGTACATAGTATTAAATACCAAATATTATAATAATGCCTAAGAGTGTACCATATTGCTGTGTTAGTAAGGTTAGAGTATGCGCCTGAGGCTGTTTTGTGGTTGAAGAAAAGAGAATAGATAATATAATTTATTTTATAATTCCATAAGATAAATAGCACTAATGAATTGTATTCTGATGTGTGGTAGTCCAGATACATTTTGTTTATCTATAATTTATGATTAGAAGAAAGAAATAATGTCCAGTGCCTTGTGAAATATTTGAAGGCAAAGTAACAATTTTATAAGACTCCAAACATTTTACCAAGAGGTTATATTTGATACAATTAAGATGTAGATTATAGTTCGATGGTAGGTATGTCATAATACCTCGAGATAAAGGTATTAATAGGTTTACAAATAGTGTTTTGTGTGATTCATTATGAAGTAATGTTTATTTAAAGTTATTATGAGTGTACAATGTATTTAAACTTTGATAATAATTGCTGTTATTGTATCTTGATCTTAATTTAGATTGTATTATGTTACAATATGTGTATCAACTAATATTTAATTATTACAAATACCAAAGCTTTGCTTTCATACACTTTCACACTTATATTCAAGTCCTTAATTAATAAGGTGAGCATTTAATGTTGTGTAACAACATAATAAAGTCTTTTCATGTAACGTGTGACTTATTATTTACATCTCCTATTATAAAAAGTAGCTTTAACCCGTTGCCAATTAGCATAGTATATCCTCCATACTCTCAACTATAATATGTGTGCAAAACTAACAAACAAACATATTTCCTCAATTTTAACAATAGTTGGAATTATCAATGTTCCAAATGTTTAGTGAGTTCTCATTCATCTGTTGTTAGGTTGGGATAAGTAAATACTTTTGGCAAAATTCGAGGCTTGTTTCAATGCCATAAAGCTGAACACTACTTCAGTGAGTGTGAGCAACCATAACATGGTGTGCAGTGTGATCTCCATGGGGGTGCTCATCAAGTATGGGTTGAAGAGGAAGAAGCTGACTAGAGGCATTTGCATCAAAATTGTCAGCATCAGGAACCCAGCTAGTTCTGGTACCTGGAATTTTATATTTAGTTTATTTTAATAATTATTGGTGGTACCAACTGAATAAATTATGCTACATTTTTTTTCTTTAAATACTAACCCTTCTAGAAAGGTTGCCATAGTGACCTAAATATATTCTTGCTGACTCAATAACAATCAATAATGTGAATACTGTCAATGAAAGGTATTTCGTTAGATGTCCAAGGCTATTCAACTGAAAAGAAATCAGGACATTCTCATTAAATATTTTCACAAAGATTGTATTTTATTTAGGAAACAATATCATGGGTTTGTATTGTTTACCTTTGCATATAGAAAAAATCCTATTACTGTCACCCAAATTATGTATAAATATAAATTAAAATATAAACATTTTTGTAAATGGAGCATGGTTCTGTATTCCATGGTTTTGAATTTTTACACCATATTCAGAATTTCAAAATTTCTTTGTATTCATAATATGTATCATGTTTTGCTACACCCAACTTAAAATTGTGCCTTAAATATGATTCATTTTCATAACATTATTTCAACAAAGTAATAATTTCAAATGGTGATAACAGGAACACCCAAAATATGTTTCGAAACCAAGCACTGCCTGATAATCTAATCGCATGTTCCACTTAATATTTGTTCAACTAAATACGAAGAACACTAATCGAGCTCTATCTACCTTAGATAAATAGAATTTGTTATCAATATTTTATCAATTTGTAACTTGTGTTGTGATCAAATTGTAACCAAAGAGACAACTTCAAACAACAAACGTTTTAAGAACATCAACAAAACAAATGAACTTAAACGTCAGTGAGTTGTCAATGTCAATTTGTTCACATACAAAACTTAAATAAAAACTATTACTTAAAAAAAATTAAAACTAAATATTACTAAATTAAATACCTATATACAACTTAAGATTAAAATAAGAAAAAACAAAAACAACCATTTACATAAAGCGTCGAAAAATTCGTCCGCATCGACGTCAGTGAGGAAAGTACCCAGAAGGCTGGCAGCAGAAGACCAGCCCTCTGGTCACGAGATGTGTCAACCAGGCGTTTTGAAATGTTTTTGAATAATTTAAGTGCACTCGGGCCCAACGGACCTAGCGTCTCAACCCCAGACGGCTCAAAGATATAACTACCAGCCAGGATGTTATACTTGCGCCGCTTGAGGTTTTCTGCAGAGGCAGCAGCCGAACCAGCACAACCCGCCGTTACTGGAAGATGAGAAGGTGCAAGGGTGTCGACGCAGGTTGCGTCCCACACCAAAGACCTTCCCAATTTGCTTGGTATTTACTGAAACCAAAGAGTAGATCAATATTTTTTTTACAGGTCGACGGTTTTTGTAGGTCGACGTTTGACCACCATCTCGCCTGATGGTAAGCGATGATGTGGCCGACGATGGACCACGCCTACCTATGAGCAACCTGTTCACTCGGGACTTGAAGACACCCAATAACCGCAACATTTCGTTTTGATTTCACCACTAGTATGTCGGGAGCGTAGATCTACGCGAGACAATGTGTTCTCTATTGTGTCTTACATACCGACATTCATCTATCATTCAACAATTTGATTCCTTCGTGATAAACATTTTTTGCATTTTATCATAAACTTGCACGTGCCGGAAGAATAGTAATTAACACACAGTTTTATAATTTATGTCACCATGTATTGTCTTTTTTGTGCTTGGGATCATGGTCTTTCTTGCAAAACTACAGGCCGCATAGCTTGCCATGCCAGCATCAACGACATTATTCGTTGTGCTCTTGCCTCAGCCGGCGGCGTACCAGCCGTATTAGATAGAACCTAATAGTATAATACTGCCTTGAAGATTGAAGATAGGTAAGCCCTTGGTGTGGGACGCGAAGTGTGTAGACACCCTTACATCATCACATTTTCTGAGTATCGCTGCTTGCGGGTGCGGCCGCTTCCGTGGCAGAGACCCTCAAACGGGTTAAATATTCAAATCTAGTGGGTAATTACTGTTTTGAGCCCTTTGGGGCAGCAACTCTTTGGCCTTGAGATCCCAGTCTCTCACACTCTGTCTATAAAGAATCTTGTAGGCTGATCGAATCTAAACGTGACCAGAGGGCTGGCTATTTCTTCGGACAAAAAATAAGCATTACCATTCAACGTGACATTACTGCCAGTCTTTTGGGAACGTTCCCCGGGGTATTGTCGTTGTTTTTTTAGTTCCTTTTTATTCATTGTTTTAGTTATAGTAAATTAAGTTGTATACATTTATAATTATACCTCCTGCAGAAATTATAGTAAAACAAAGTACTTATGTTAGGTTCTGTGAATAGTATACTCTCTCTAAAGTCTCAATTCTCAATCTTTGACATAGATCCTCTATGTCAAAGATTGAGAATTGAGACTTTAAATACAACTTAACTTAAAAATGTAACAAATATTTTAGTAATAATGATCATTTTAGTGATTGTAGTGCACTACGTACCTTCTGTTTACTTTTGTTACTTACAAAAAGTAATCTCACTATAAACATTCTAGTTCAAAAAGCCTGGTATGTATTTATCATTCACACAGATCTAACAATAAAAAAGTCTATCTATCAGCTGTCATTTTTCCGTAAATCATAACCTCAATTTTCAGCACAACAATTTCGAATTTAAAGAGAAGAATTCTATTTTCATTACAGGAAAACTAGAATGTGTGAAGCCTAATTAAATTCTAATATTGTAAAGAATCACTTCATCATGTTAGCTCAGTCGTTGCGTGTCTCTCTTGGTAAGTACAAAATGTATTATAATGATGTATTAGAACTTGCGAAAAGGAAACTAAATAAATTATTGTTCTGTTTCAACTTATTTCAGGTCTCTTACGACCTGAGAGTTCGCAATTGGTGCTCGTCGCTGGCATTAAATACTTTCCACCACCGAAAAATTATGACCGTAAGTTACCAAATCTAATAAGATTACTTTTTTTAGAGTAACTATTCAATATTATCAATGAAAAAGTAAATTATATAATAGTAACAACACACTTTTGTAAATGTCTGTTGGTGGGTACCTATCCACAGGAGAAGAGTTTTCATAACAGAAAGTAATATTTTTCAGATATTGAAATACCGGAGCGTCAAAGGCTTCGTATCTATGACAAGGTGCCAACATATCCAGCCAATTTGAAGCCTCCGAAGATGCAGAAGCGTCTTCGTTACATGCGTGGTCCAGAGACAGTACACACCAACCTACAGCTGCAGCAATATGGTGTTGTTGTAAGTATATTATTATTATGCATAAGAAATTAAAATACTGATAGAAACAATTTAATGATATACTTACAGCTCTTAATGTTTTTGTAGAGCTCCTACTTATTATTTTTCTTTTAATATATGATATCTTAAAAGTTATTAATTTATTTATCCCCATCTTTTTAGGCGACTGGAGGTGGCAGAATGCGCTCTGAACATTTTGAAATGGCCCGTTTAGTTGTTGCGAGAAAGTTAGACCAGAAAAGAATGTTTGCTATATGGAGAGTAGACCCACCATGGCAGCCTGTCACCAAGAAGGGGCAGGGGCAACGTATGGGTGGTGGTAAAGGTGCCATTGATCATTACGTCACACCCATCAAAGCTGGCAGGATTATTCTTGAAGTTGGTGGCAAATGTGATTATGCTGAGGTAAAGTTTCAATGCTTTTATTAGTTTCTTTACATTTCTAAATGAATATCCTCAACTGCTTCTTGTCGGAGGAAGGAGGTATCTTGGATTTGATCCCCAAGCAAAGTGTTCTTTAGCAAATTACAATATCATACAATGTGAATGAGATTGTACTCCTTGGGAGAATTACAATTTTTAATATATGATTGTATAGTGATTGCAAACTACTTCAGTACTATATTTGTTTCCTTTCACTAAATCAATATCTTTTTGCTTTCAGGTATACCCAATGCTGAAAATAGTTGCTGAGCGACTACCATTCAAAGCTGAGCCAGTTTCCCTGGAGATCATGCAAAAGAAGGCAGAAAAAGAGAAATGGTTAGAAGAAAACAACCAGAACTATTACACAATGAAATATATTATTCAGAACAATATGGGAGGATGTCACAAGATGCTGTCACCATTCGACCATCGCTGGTACGGCAAATATTTGTAAATAATCTTATTTTAAGTAGCTGTAATTAGTGAAAATATATGTTTATGTAAAAGTTAGTTTACTTTTTTATTTATTTACACATCCTAAAGTTATTTATTTGGACACTATTTCTGTGAAATATTCGATTTTTTCGGAAAACTGAATGCAAATATATAGCCGCCAGGGTTCGGTCCTGGGGCCGCTTCTTTAGACCATCTTGTATTACCGCTAGTGCAGGTGCTTCAGGTTGCTCTTCTCCATACCTTTTGCGTTACCTATTTATTATTTTTACTTTTTTACACCACGACTTTGGCAACAAAGCACACGACCCACCTGATGGTAAGCGGTTACCGTGGCCTACGTACGCTTGCAACACTTGGGGCATTACATGCGCCTTGCCAACCCTTGAAAAACCTATTTAATCCCTTCTTGAAGAACCCCATGTTTTAGCCTACTGGGAAAACCACGGCAGGGAGTTCATTCCACAATCGGAGGGCTCGTGGGAGGAAATTTCTCTGAAAGCGAACTGTACGGGACTATTTGGGTCCCAATGTGTGAGCCCGAACTCCCAGTCGATGGCGAGCGGTGCGATGATTAAAAGTAGTCGTGGGCATCATATCAAATAATTCCACGGAACAACCCATTATATAAGCGGTAGAAAATGCACAAGGAGGCAATATCTCTTCTTAGACATAAGTGCTCGATACCGCTCGTAAGTATAGGATCGTCAACAAGTCTTACAACTCTCCTTTGGACCACAGCGTTAAAAGGTCCAAGCTAATTAGCTGGTGTTCCTGCTCAGAGATGAGAACTGTACTCCATGTTCGCCCCCATGGGCGAACTTGCAATTTAAATAAAAGCAGTCTGCCCCGGCATGAAGTACCGCTTCGCTCTGTTTAGCACCTCGAGTTTTTTTTATGCCAGCTTGGTCTTGTCTTCTAAGTGACTACGGAACCGACACCAAGGATACCTATACTTTTGGAGATGTTAAGGGTTGTGTCTTCGAATTGAGGGGCCACAACGAATGGGGTTTTTTATCGATGAATGCACAAACTTGTGTCTTGGAGGGGTTGGACCGGATCATATTATGGTCTCGACCCCTATCGGCGACTAAACGGTATAAGGTACCTACTCTCGATTTGGGTCAGTAGAAGGTCTAACCATAGGTCAGAGCGAACTCGCGAGCACACCTCCTCGCGTAGTCAGTGGACCGAGATTTAAGCCATTTGGTGTGATGGGCGTTAAAGTCTCCTAAAATCACTAACTCCGCAATATATGAGTATTGCTAAATAACTATCAGTCGTCTATTGCGGCTGCTCGAAAAGTCCCGTTGTTTCCTTGTCACCGCTGTGAGACCTATAAACGATTTTTGAACGACGTTTAGGTTAAACGTTAGGTAACGAGCGCTAAGGTTTGCACCCTAATTAATGTTGCAATAGTCTACTGGGATGGATAGGGGTGCCGCTTAACTAGTTTATTTCTGTATTTTTCCTTATTATTTTTTGTGGAGGAATTTGAATAGTTTTAAAAAATATTAATTATTGTGTTGATAGCTTAGGAAACAAATTTGCAATGCCGACCTGCCACAGGCCAACACAGGGGTGCAGTTTATCGACGTAACGTACGTACGGACCCCCCCCACTGTAATAGCGGGATCCAATCCGATCTCCTCCAGCACGAGCACTACAACAGAGATTTTTCACGGGTTGCCAGTTCAGACTCCCAGAGCGGAGACGTTGATATTTGGAAGATAATCTCAAACTGCAGGTTCACACATTAGACACATTGTGTTTTGATTTTACCTTCTTGTTTATAAATACTGTATTCTGAATAGACACAGAAGGTGGAAGAATAGATTTTGGTATTCCTACATTACATAATACACTAATATTATACAGCTGAAGAGGAGTGTTTGTTTAGACACGCTGATTTCTTGAACTACTGGTTCGGATTTTTTTTGAGCGGGGAAATATCATCCATTGACTTCTCCCGTCCGGGTGAGGCGAGAGGGAGTGTCAGACTCTTACTGACTAAAAACCACCCCGTTCCTACTCCTGCACTTCGAGCCGGAGCCCCGGCAACCCGTTAAGTCTTCCGCGGAAAAATGAAAAAAAATGTTGGGCCCCATCTTTGGTGGTCTGATGGATCCTTGAGGCGCGCGCGGAACGCGACGCGCCGTACGCTCGGACCTGGTTCTGGTCGGGTGGCGAGTAACCCGTGCTCGCCCTCTGCAGGCCCGACTGGTTCGGATTTGAAAATTATTTCCGTGTTGGTTTCTATCTGGATAGATTGCCTCAATAAATATTCAGATAGATTGCCTCTGTACGCTATCAAACATCACGTTGCGATCAATAGGGGCTGAGTAGCAGATAAATAAAACAATAAGCATAATTAATAATGGTTTATTAAATTTGACATTTTCATGAAAGGATTTTCGTGACAAGCCTCAGTTTGCATACATGTATTAAACCTTGTAGCAATATTTAATTTATAAACTCCTTTCTTATAATTATGGCAAAAACTCAACAAAAACAAATGTATTACAGTAACAAATACTACAGCGTAGAGTACTTTATCTTATGACTCGTCCCTAACCTAACGTCGAAAGCCAAACAACACGCTATTAGTATTTTAGAGAGTATCATGGTTCACGAATAAAGACAGTGTAAGCTGATACAATGTTCCACAGAACACACGGCTTCCTTCGTTACTGAAAGTAAATAGGAAAGTTCGTCCACTGCTCCTATTAATACATTTAGGGTCACATTTAATACACAATACAAGATAAAACATTTACTATTTAGTGTACAATTGTAACAGACAAACATCTCATGATATTGTGTGCAACTCTACTCTGTCCATATTTTAAGCAATTTCTACCACATATATTTTCTATTCTGCATTGTCATCTCCACCATAAGTACCTATAAATTATATAACGTCATAACAATATTTACAAAGCCTAACATACTAACTTACAAGTAAATGCAATTTACATCTTCAATAAATTAATAATGTGTTTACAATATCATACAAGCGTTACATTTATATATGATATGGCTTTTTATTTTATAAAATAGACTGCATATAAAATCAATCCCTAGCAGTCATTTTATCACAACTTTAACCATTTGTTATTAGAACTGACTTGTGACGTGTTACTGCTATTTGTGAATTTCAATACCATATTACAGTAAACACAGTTGATATTATATTAATTATTTATTTATAAATACCTAAATAAATGTATAAATTAATAAATCAGTGCTTTCTGACGAACGAAACTAATGTCCGTTTAAATTTAATTAGGCTGTCTTCACACATAGCAATAAATTAATAGAACAAGTTCACATCAAATATTTTATAAGGTTTTAGTTTAGCAGACAGGAAAGCCATTTCAGAGAGTGGAATAGTATTGAGCAAATAAATTAGCTCAGATTAATTATAAGAATAATATACTTTGACTAGTTCTGTATCTCTTATACTATACTTAAATACTATATTCCCTAGAAACTGGCGATTTGCAGTCTTAATCATAATAACTATTGTGTTTTGTTATCCAATACACGGTAGGCGGGAAATGAAAGTGATTCTGCTTCGAGAGATAATAAAATAAATGTATTTTTAGTTTTAACTTGCATACATTAGCTAAGCTCTAAGTTAAGACAAAAGTGAGGTAGCGTTTTTACCTTCTAGTGGAAAAATATATATACAGTACAGATCTAGAACGAATGCAACGTTTTCTTTTTGGTATGGGAATATTACATTAGCGATATATCGTAAGGTTCGCGAGTCGTAGGCAAGGACATACGGCGCTCAGTGTACAGCAATAAATTAGCCCGTTACCGTAAGGAGACAATATCAATATACAGACAAACCTTGCGTGAGTAATATTTATAATTTATTATATTCATTGACATATTATGAGTATTAACTACATGCACACAATTATCATAATTAGGTACTTTAAATATGTGCAGCTTTGTAGATGACTAGAGTAAATACGTTTAACGATAATAATATTATTATGTATAAAACAGTTACAATTTGTATAGTTTCGATTTCGATCACTGCAAGGATCCACTTTGAGACACATATTGTATGAGGGTAATACATTGACTGTCAACAACATTACTCGTAAGCTTCGCTCAGGTGCTCCAACAAGAATTTCAGTTGAGTTTTCATGAAATTATTTTTGTGAGCGATGGAGTCGCAGAGCATTTGTGTGGGTGCGACTGTGTTCCCGTTGCTTACGTTTTCGTAAATGTGCGCGTCTGGGCACGCGTTGTTGTTGTGCGAGTCAATGGTACTAGCCTCGAGCCCGGCCGCCCCGGACGTATCAGTGGGTGCATTGTATACGTCGATTGGCGGAGCTTTGATGATATGCTGATATTTAAACGTAGACAATATCTGCCGGATCTTTGCAATGATCTGCTCTACTCAGGCGTTTGATTCCTGCGAAAAATTTTAAAAATACATAAGTCAGAATTCTGCAGCAAAATCTATAGGGTAGAAGATTTTCTAGATAGAATCGTGAAGTTAGAGGCTACATTCTATGCTAGTGGTAAGAATTAGCTGCTTTCTAGCATTCTACATTGATGACGAAACATTAATGGTCAAAGAGGTGAGAAGTGGAATGTTGTGTCTAGGCGATCACCCGAAATATTGAATTTGCTGCAGGTGTGGTATAATGAACAGTTACTTAAAATGAATCTTAACAGTATAACTATGTTATAATACTGCACGGCATTCGTATGTATACTCATATAAAATGTAAGTACTCATATAAAATATTATCCTAGATTTCATATTAAATGCATCAAAATTGAGGCTCTATCATTCATAAGAAGGTACACCGAACATCGAGACAATACATGACACACGCGGCGTGACGTGACGCGGACAGCGAGTCGATGCAAGCGACAGCAACACTACACTAGAAGCAGGGGGACGTGTGGGCGATTATACCTTGAGGTTGTGGAAATAATGCATGATCTGATCGTAGTCCATGTGCAGGTCGTCCAGCCCCAGCGCGTCGCTGGTGACGTCACGCGGCGCGTCGAGCGCGTCCGGCGCGCGCGAGTACATCGGGTTGCCCACTATCGTGGCGCGCTTCACCTCCGGGGAACTGCTGCCTGCAGCGACGTACAACTACTTTACTGACTACTCTCTCACGAGGAAGACGTCGGCGAGCTACGAGTAGTAAACATACCTTTGTTCTTATTGGCGGCCTCCACGAAATCTCCTTTTGACTCTTTGGATCTGTTCTTGTGCCTCATTTGTACTTCGGGTAGGCCTGTAAATATCGTACATTAATACTGAAGTCCTAAATTGAAATAAACTCGTTTAATGGTGAAGATAATTACCGATTCCAGAGTCGTGCATGTAGTCGGGGCTTTCGGGTTTGGCGAATGTTCGTCGGGAGTCGTCGGTTCCTCTGTTGAGGCCGACGATCTCTCGGTAGTCCTTGTTCTCCATCACTAGTGGAGCGTCGTTATCGAATTCAAATAGTCGTGCGCAGTCATCTTTGTCAGTCAGTTTTTCCACTGGGTTGTCTTCAAGGTCGTTTCTAAGGGGAGCCGGGTTCGAATCGCGTTTGTAGTCCTTCATGTCTCGGTTCAATAAATATGGGGCGTCCAGTTTGTTTAAATCAATAATTCTGGAAAAGAAAAGAAGTGTGTTTTTCGTTAATCTCATTAAATTACAACTTATTGACTTAAACCAGAGGACATAATAAGATAATTTGTCAAAGTTACCTGTCTGAGCGGCGGCCATTTTCTGGAGATCGTCGGGACTCGTAATCGCGGTCGTGTTTCTTTTGGTGATTTCGGGAGTGGTTTCGTCGCGTCGGTGGCATGACTGTTTCGGGTAAAATCTGGAATAGCATTAAGACACATTAGTGTAGGTGCATTCAAAAACATTTATTTAAAGGGGATGGAGACCCTACCCTCATTTCCATCCCCCATACCCCGTCTTTGAATTCTTAAAGGCAGGCAACGCTCTTGTTACTTCTTAGGTGTTGCGAAAACAGCAATTGGTTGCCATCAGGTGATTAGTTTGCTCGTTTGGTGACTAAGAAGAGAGCAGTTTTCAAGAAATATCTGTTTGTTCTTACTTTGTTGGGGTTCCGAGGTGGTACTGGGACATGCGGCTGTGGAGTGGAGGAGTTCCTGTGTGGCGGGACGGGGGGGCGGTAGTCGTCTGGGTTGTTGGCGTCCGGCCTGTGGACCAAATGGAGTAAATTATACCATAATTATTACAATAATGCACAGAGAAACTACTAAGCGCAAAACTAGATGCAAAAATTAGGAGACTATAGACTTGACACCCCAGATAAGCCGAGGAAACTTCATAAGTTAATGGTATGGACTGTATTTGGCCAGTTACTTTATAGTTACCTTCCTCGTGATTTCGATAACTTCATTCTTAAGTAAGTACCTAAAAATATTGAATATCAGGCACTATGCCCAACCCAGGAATCAAACCTAGGTCTTCAAGCTCGAAGCAGATAGTAAGGTGTTGTGAAAAAATGCAACAGATAGAGGTGCGTTAATTCTTATTAGTAGAATAAAAACAGATCAAAGTGGCATAGTGCAAAGTACAATTAATAAACAATTGAGCATAGAACATAGACAATCACGTCAACAAGGACAAGACAAAGGCGAGCGTGATAAACTTGCAAAAATAACTTACTGCCAGTGTCCGTCGCCGGAGTGGTGGCGCGCGTGTCGCCCTGCCTTCTTACAGTACGTGGTGGAGTCAATGACCTTCTTGTCGTTCTGTGACGGCAACTCAATCGAGTTAGGGTTGTCAAAACTCGTCACCATGACGTTCCCATTCTCTCGTATAGCGTCCTCCGGGTCCACATAATTATAGTTCAAAGGGTTGGCAGTAATCCTCATCTCAGTGTTGCCATTATCCGTCTGTTGCGCTGAATTCCTGTTCGCTGGGTGACGGTTCCCATTCCTCTCGATCGTAGCACGTCCTGGAAAATTGAAAGCTTCAATTTTGATCCAATTATTGAATGTACTTAGGATTATGGGGTTTTGTAAGCGTAATGTGAAGAAGTATTTTGATTTCGTTAAATGTGTTTTGCGGTTATTCGTTTTTCAATTTTACAGGGATAGAAATAGAGTGCATTTAGAATTATTTTTACGACAATAGTGTTCACTTTGTCTCATGTAGAGACAAAATTGTGCCTAAAAGTGAAAGTCATACATACATAGATATCCATCGATTATACATAGGTATTAAACCTAACCATGTATTAGATTGGCACTGTCTTAAATTGAAGTACATTATTCAATAAACGACTTACCCAACCACACCCAATCGTGAGCGTTAGTAGTGGATTCCCTAGAAGGTTTCTCCCTGGCCAGGCCGAGCGTGGTGCCAACTAGACCAGCGACTTGTAACCGTCCCCCTTCAGCGACCCCGGCCGGCACTCCTCGCGAGCCGCCGCCTATACGGTCTCCACCTGATGGCTTCACTCGCGTCGCGTATACTACGCATGATACCACGAACACCTGCCGAAAGAAATTGTTATTATAAGGTATGTTGTTTCGTTACTGTGAGTAACTATTAAGGAATATTTTATGGTTTTAAGAAAGTTTATAGTTAGTACAGAATAATTAACTTATTTAGATAAGTGCCTAGTCTAAAGGTATTGCCTGTATTTAAGTGTAACCCTTAATAGTTTAAAAAATAAAATGAGGATTTACTAACTCACCACTATCGCAAAACAGAAAGCACCGAGCACCACGTAAATTCCTGGAAACAAAAAAAAAATACATTAGGTATCACATTATTCCCACTCCATTATAGTCTTTATATCTTTTAAAATAAATACTAACCAATAACGACAGAAGTCTGTGCAGTTTGGTGTTGAGAGTGTGGTGCGGGGTTGTTCCGATAGATGGAGTTGTATTGTTGCGCCTGTGCAATGGTTGGCTCGTGATTGCCTTCGTCCTTGAATGATGGGTAGCCTGGAATATCAAAAGTAGGATTTAAATCTTATAAAAATAAATAAAATGTAATGGACACTTACTAAATTCATTGGCTATTTGTTTTTGTTGCGTTCATTTTTATTTATTATCAAGATAAATTTTAATTTAAAGAACCTGGGCTCTCAAGGTAATCATTGCCACTATAAGTCGTTGAAAGTTACCTTTAAGAATATCTCCAAGTTCAGCCATGCCGCTCCTCATTCCACCCCTCGCCATGATGTCATCATTTTGTGGTGTATCAGGTCTTTGAGGAGCGTCTCCTCCACTGAAGTCCACGTCTACACTGGCTGCTGCCGTGGCGATGGCTCCAGGAATGTTCTTGATGTTGGCTGGAGTCTTCGTGTCGCCTTTGCCGGGAAGAGCCACACGGCGTAACGGACCAGTTCGGCATTGTTCCGGAGTTAGTAAGGTGACACGGAGCAACTCCCCGCTACCTGGAATTGAATTTGTACAAAAATTGTAGTGGGGTCTGGAAAAGAGTTCTATGATTTAGTGTTTGCTGAAGCTTTTTAAATATTAACAAAATTTAGTGATCATTTCCTACACCTTAAAGGGTTAAAGTTCTAAATTAGCTCTTAAGCCGTTATGATTTAAAGATTTTTTTGGTTTATTGACTCCTTGGACAGAGCTCAATTGCACTGATTACACCAATAAGCACTTTCAGAACAAAACTACACAGTCCTTAGTCTTTGGAATTTAATAATATTAAGCAAAACATTGGTAATCATACCTTCTCCAACCGCGATAACACGTGGATGTCTGGAAGCGTACATGGGCGCGAATGCCACCACCTCAGGGTCCAAGCTCTCCACGACGAGGAAGTAATCAGACACGGCCACATCGCGCAGCGCTGTGTGACTGCCGTCTGAGAACTCCAAGTCAATGTCCAGTAGACCTTCCTGAAATTTTACACAAAACAGTGTGAAATTAAATGATGTACCAAGTAGCTGGTAGACAATTTAGAACTATGTAATTCTTTAGCTGTGTATGATAAGTATAATAAACAAGGAGATTTTTGCTAACCAGCAGCTGTAGCCAAATGTCATTTAGCGCTTGTCTACTTGTAGAGTAGAAAACTAAATTATATGGGAATTATGGGATCGACGTAAATTTTGGCACTTGACATACATTTAGTTTTCTACAACCCCTATACTTATTATACTCTTTGTTTTCTACTCTCTCGGTAGACAAGCGTTAAAGTGGCGTTTGGCTAAAGGCACAGAAAGGCTTAATGTAGCATGAGGTATTATTATCCAATAGAGAGTTTTTCACAGCTATAATAATCAGATAAAAAACTTTATACTAGATTAGCACCATCTATATAGTGTAGTGAATCAAATCCACAGTCCATAATTACGTTCAATTTCTTAATCATAATTAGTTTATCAGAGTAAATGAAACTGTAACACAATCGTTCATTAAATATGAACCTAGTAGATAGGTAGGAAAGCCTACACAAGAATCTTATGTCTATCGTATCGTAATTCTAGATAGGCGCCTACATACTTAGGAATTGCCTGCGCAAGTTGCCTCCTACACAGATGGTAATGTAGGTAGATTCATAACATAACAAAGTTGTCGTAATTTAATCAACGTTATGTAAATCCTTTTTTTATATTCTACTTAGATCTCAGATTGTAGGCCGATAAGTATTGAAGTATGAGTAAAAATGTGCCTATCTAACTAGATAAATATCAAGTTAGCTTAATTAACATAAAATCGCGAGTTACTCACGTGAATATATATATGCAGCCTACTGCAGGCTGCGCGACATCGCCGCGACCGCGCACGCTGCTCATGAGGAAGAACCCTCTGTGGTTCGAAACTAGTAGAGCTTTTCTCAGTATATTCAAGTGAGTAACACGCGATTTTTAGTTAATTTAGTATGTCTCACGATAGTTATTATAAAAACAAGTAGATAGCTAGTTATACCTACTTGGTAGGCCATCTAAAAACCCATTCACTATGCTAACCTAGTTACCTAGGTATTTTAATTTTATACTTAGGCAAGCAAAAAGTTTCTTTAACACTTTCGCCTTTACCTAACTTTACCTCTTGATTAATTCTGGTTTTGATACCTAAACCATAGATGAGACCTTGTTTTTTTATTACGAGGGAACCCTTCGAAAGGCGCCTAGCCTTTTGGGGAGAAAGACTGTAGTATTTTGTAGGCGTGTAGTATTTTACCTCACTAAAACCACACTAGTGGCCACCCTCAGCACCTGTAGAGGACACCAGATCCTCTAACAGACCAGCCCCGAAGCCCCCACAGTGCAACGCCTGTTGCGGCACATCCCTGAGCCTCGAACGAATGAAGCTTTGACTTAAAGCTAGTACTGTAATATTTGCCATTACAAACCTGATATTGTGCAGTGAGTCGCCTGGTGACGGTAGTTTCGGAGACGTATCCGTTTTCGATCGCAGTGTCGGGCGAGATATTCAGCTGCAGACCAGATATGACGCGCACCAGTAGACGTGAGATTGATACCTTGTCGTTACCCACGCGGACCTCGCGCAGACCAATCACTCGTCCTGGAAAGATATAAAATATTTTACGTAAGGGTACATAAAGAAGCATACAAGCATACCATACGTAACCTTATCCAAGAATTGGCCTCAGTAGGACAAGTCAGTCGAATTCAAATTTGAAAACAGAATGTTCCAAGTCTCGCAATCACATCCAATGTAATAAACCAATCGCTTATTTGCTGCACTAATATTAGACAGGTAGGTATACTTTTTAACTTCATCCCAGAGACAGAGGCTGTTAAAATTTTATGTGGAAGAACCCAATATCTATGTTGTAATGTACAGATCCCTGTGACTTTCAATAATACGAGACGAAAATACACCGAGAGGTCAAACAGTATGGACATTATCTCTCGAAAACTATTGACTTACCTAAATAAATATAAAAAGGTTTGCACCTCAATCCATCTCAATTTAAACCTATCTGCAAATAGATCCATCAGAGTTCCAACTGAAGTCGCCCAGATAAATTCAGAATCAAGTTTAGTTCAAGAGATTTCAATCTTGCACAGATCAATAAGTTTTAAAATCTGATAGTTTTCAAACGAATTATTGCTTATCGGCTAGACTTCACGATGCAGTCGAGTCACGAATTAGTTAGAGGCTTTTGTAAACGTCGATAGACATGACAAGATGAAAGTGTAGCCTTTTGTACTTAGAAGATACGTACGATAGTAGATGTGAAGTGCGATAAAATTATGAAGTTAAAAGATGTCATATAAATTGATACTGCACTACGATATCGTTCTCCAGCTAGGCTATACTGCAACTGTCAATTCGGACTTGCGAAGCGAGCTCGATTGCATTCTCGTCCGTCAGTGGTCGAGATTATTTTCACAATCAATGACGTCACTGACCGCGATCGAGTTCATTTCGATCTTTCAAAATGTAGAATAGCCTAGCTGGCCTTTTCCTAAAAAAAGACCAACTGAAAGTCAGCGTTTTATATGGATATACTGAGAAATGAATAGGTATAGAATAATATGTTTCTAATACCTAAGCTGACATTTCTCTCTATCTAGGTTGACCTACGTTTTACCAATTTCTCCAAATAGAGCACAAGTCTAGATGCTGGAGATATCGAGAGCCTTGACCTAAACCCAGTTTTAGATATTAGGTAGGTACCTAGTGCATCATTCTGAGACTACCTACTCAGGCTACCTATATAAGATATACCTATGGTCAGTTACTGGCAGTGAGATCGTAAATGTGACTGTTTAATTCCATATTTTTTTTGCTGTCAAACATTAGTTATGGTCACTTAGTGAAAAAGGGCTTAAAGGGCTAAGGGTAGGTACAAAGTCTATGTTATATTTAATAATAACTCTGCCTACCTACTAAATAAATGTAATGCGAGATGAAAAGATATTATCAAATCAGAAGATCTCATTTAAACTAACGTCAGCGGAACGGTTCCGTATAAATATGACCGTTCAACAGTTTCATTCATTCATGTGTTGATGAGAAATCTATTTATTATCTGTGGCCTAGCTTGTCAACACACGTACAGTGTTTACACATAGTACCTATCTGTTGATATAATATAACACACGTCCTTAAATAATTAGTAAAGATTCGCATTCCTTTTTTTAGAAATAGGCAGGCTATTGTGATTTTTCCATATAACATCACGTCTTTTATTCCCGAAGAGGTAGGCAGAGGTGCATATTACGGCATTTAACGCCACTGTACTTACAATGTAACACCCACTTTTCACTATTTATGTTATGAATCCCATGTAATAGGGGGCCTATCGCCATTTATCAGGCCCATTTTAGACGCCGTGCTACTACAGAGAATTTGGAAAAACCCAGTAATATTTTGCCCAACCCGAGAATCGAACCTAAAACCCATTGCCCAGCAGTCGCGCTTGCACTCGGCCAACGAGACAGTCATCCATATAATTTAAGTAATGAGTAATAGGTAGGTAGGTACTCGTAATCCCTATTTATATTTTTTTTATGGTATAAGTCGGTAAGCAATCGCCGCTGCCCATGGACACCCGGAACACCAGAGGCGTTAGGTACGTGTGCATTACCGGCCTTTTGGGGATTAGGAATTTGAGGATTGTTGGGGATTCATTCAGGGATTGGGGACATTCGGAAGGGGGCGGGGATAATTGGACCTACGATAACCTCACCCACACGACGAAACACAAGGCAATTAAGTATATGTAGTGATTTGTACCTAATTAATCAAGATCTTTCATGACGAAGGCAAATTACCCTGCGGATTTTGGCATTTAACATTTACTTAAATGCCAAATACTTAGGTACCTACTTAATTAATTAAAAGGTCAAACGTAACGAACTTAAGAACTTTATGTGCCAGTTTTTTAATGTGAAAAAAGTAATCACTCATTGCTGAAGTTCTATGAAGATTATTAAAATACTGATTAAAATATATCTAGAATTCGATCTGCCATGGGAAGGTTACTGACTTATCTTCTTACTTAGTCACAAGATCGCAAGTTCTTCTACCTACTGCACTATAATTCTACCTATTTAAATATGTGATTTCATAACATATTAATTTCAAACTTTGTCCCAGTTGACTATACTCTTTCGCCGTAAGTTTCAGTCCCCAGACAGAAGACAACTACACTACACTTGTCCAGACCAGTCGGTGCGTCATCATACAGTCGTAATAATGAGTAAGTAACTAACTACATTGTGTGGGAGAGCCATACTTCGGCACGAATGGGCCGGCACGACCGGAGTGATACCACGGCCTCACAGAAAACAGACGTGAAACAACGCTTGCGTTGTGTTTCGTCGTGTGAGTGAGGTTACCGGAGGCCCAATTACCCCCTTCCCCAGTCTCCCCAATCCCCGAATCCCCCACAATCCTCAAACTCCTAATTCCCAAAAGGCCGGTAACGCACTTGTAACGCCTCTGGTGTTCCAGGTGTCCATGGGCGACGCCGATGGCTTACCATCAGGTGATCCGTCCGCCCTTTTACTAGCTTATCCCATAAAAAAATACATATTTATCATACACACACACATAAATAAAACAACAACCAATCATCATCAATCAAAATAAATTACCTGTAATAGGCGACAGTACTTGAACTTCAGTGCGTCCTGTACTCCGTCCTTGTAGCACTCGGCCTCGCAGCGACGCTATCCGAGGGTCAGACACCCTCGTCAGCACCAGCTCAGTGACCTTCAGCCATGTGCGACGTGACACGAAGTAGGACACGCGACCTGAATCGTGGTCCTTGGCTAGGAATCGTGCGTACACCTATGAGGAGGAAAAAGGTTTGATATTTAACTCGTCGAGTACCGGTTTTATAGACACAATTAAAGAACAATAGGTCGCGGTCACCGGTGACCGCTTGGTGTTTGACAGTTTAAATAAACGAAGAAAATACACAAGTCATATGGAATATGTCGCTTTAAACCAACGGATTTTCCCCGATCTTACGGCGCGTCGAGTTCCGCGCGCGCTTCAAAGAGCCATCAGACTACGGATGGGGCCCAATAGGGCTGATGCCGATTCAGAGTCGCGAAGAACTTAATGGGTTACCGGGGCTCCGGTTCGAAGTGCAGGAGTAGCAAAGTGGTTTTTAGTCAGTAAGAGTCTGACACTTCCTCTCGCCTCACCCAGGCGGGAGAAGTCATTAGATGATTTTCCCCCTTATAAAAAAAACCAACGGACTTAGATGTCATTGGGTGGAATGTTCAGCAGTCGAGAGTGATCGACAGATCACTCTCGACTGCTGAGGTACCTACTTCATCACATGAGACATCATGTGATGAAGTAGGTACCTAATGCTTCGTTAACAGAATGCCATCGAGCTTGATCTTCAGTTTGTCATATCTTCAGTCACATTTATAAAAAGTCAGGCTTTCTTTAGTCTTCAAATACATATACTAAACATTTCATTATTGGCTATAGGTACTAAGAATTAATAATTTCGGGAGCGAAAACCTATTTAGGAAGTTGTACTATATCGTGCAACTAACTAGTTGAACACATGAATCGAGCCCAAATCAAATCACTTACGATTTACTACCGATATTGACCGATGGCAAATTATACAACGACGCAAAAACAATCTTGAAAATAACAGCCCCCAAATAACGATAACTTTAGGTCTTTAGTATTTGAAGTACCTAAGTGAAATAAACCCTTAAATTGTTGATAGGTCACGCAAACTTTGCAACCTTTTCACTATAAGTACTACCTACACCTACTCTTACGTACGCCAATTATCTTGATCGAGGGGCGAGCCCACTGCCATTTGGCGAACGATTTCGTACATTTTTTTTTAACAAAAACCACTTATTTATTTTGTTGGTTGCTATACACTACGTTGACGTTGTCAAGCACCTAGTAATTAGGCGAGACGCCCAGTTTTATGGAGTTCATTTTAATTGTAGACGCCAAGCTTCAATTTTAATTTTACAACCAGTTGTAAGCAGTAAAATGTTTTATTTTACGTGTGGACTTCATAAAATACCTACTTTAATTTAGTTTACTTATTTATAAAGGGTTATCAAAAACCTACGATCAATTTACCTAATTCAGACACGCAACACTAAAGTGCTTAAGTTAAGTACCTACGCCTATTACCTATATTTTCGTTTATATAAACAAAGGAATGACGTCAGAAAAAGAATAGGCGAAACTAGAATAACATTTCTTTACAATTTCAATAACTTATTTTCAAGACCAGGGTGCTTACTCTTGAAACCAATCTCAATGTCAATGCAATTTAAATCCAATAAAATCTCAATAATTATTCATTGTCAAAACTGTACAACCCCTATCGTAGCTGTTAAAATAGCATTCAGAGTACGGAATATAAAGCCAAACTCAATACAATTTAGTCAATATCCACGCAATACGGATGCAATGGGCGCTAGTGTTGCAACTCAAGAGTACGAAATTTTACAATACCAATGTTGATCGATCGGAATTGGATTCAAGAGTAAGCCCCCAGAAGAAAAAGATCGACCGATTGCCTATTAATAATTGTAACTTTAATCCAACCAGATGCCTAATGAATTTTATTACATAAAATATCATTTAAGTCGGATATATTGCCACTTCGACTCAACATTATTATCTACTTAATTTTCCCGCTGCAAACCATTTACCATATAAACATCGCAATATAAACCCTAAAAACTTAGTACAAAAGTTCAAATTCTTACCTCAACATTGCTTTGTTGGTACCGAAGCCTGCAGGAGCGCTGTTCAGACAGAGAGTTGGTGTTGTCAGGTCGGGCGCCGCCCCAACCCCTTGCTGACAGTGAGCGACGCGTCCGGTCCTTAGTGTTCGCGTCATCGGGGACTTTCCATCCTTAACCAGACGTTAAGCCAATTAGATTTGAGAAAAATGGGGTAAGTGAATAAAATTTTAAAAATAAGCTTGAAATAAATTGTTGCTCTATTTTTAAGCCTACAATGCTTGTTTGTAGCATAATAACTAATACTTGTTTTAGTAAGTGAAAACGTTTCTTAGGAGCAGAAATAAAGCACATGAATTGAGATATGTAAAGAGTAATGTCTACTAGTTACATAAATAATCTGTTGGATCTCTTGGGTCCCTTAAATGATACTCTAAAAGTCGAAAACAAGAAGGTATTACTATAAATTGGACACAAACACTATATCGTCGTCTCTCGTGTTGTTTATTTTAATTATGAAGGGTTTTATCAAAATTGACAATGTCACCCTCATGAGGATAGACTTACTAACTTATTATCTACGCTTAATAGCTAAGTTAACTATTCTATGCACTTTTTTAGCTACCTTTGATGATGGATAACTAAGGACTATGTTACATTTACCGAACTCACTGTCCCTCGTGTTATAAACACTTAAAATTATCAACTCAAAAGTTAATATAATATCTATAAATGAAATGAATAGATCCATCATCCAATTTCATAGAAAATTAAACTTTTAACTAGAAGAAAGCTTCAAACAAATTACGTTCATTATCAACGAGTTAAAAGTTATTTGTAACTCGTTAAAGTAAGTAACAAGTTGAATGGAAACTGAATTAAAGCGTACCTACAAATCATTCATTCATTCATTTGTTCAATTGCAAAGCAATAAGCAACACAAATGGGCATAATGATTGAGTAATGACGTTTACCTTTGATTTGTGATAGTCTGTTGTCATCGACGTCAATCTCTAGAGGGTACTCGGGCATCCAGACGGTGAACCGAGCTAAACCGGTATATGTGCCGTACTTGACAATCACTGACGCATTCGATGAGCCACGGATTTCCGAACCGTCCACGTAGACTGAACTGCATGATGATGATACCTGGTTTATAGAGGGGAAAATTGTTAGGGTTATTGCAATACAAATGCTTGCGCATTACAAGAGATTTTTTTTTTGTACCCAACCATTTTGATGCACCTGATGATCTTTTATTTTCGATTGCATAACAAGAGGTATATATTTTTTGAGTATGCTAAGTGCTATTTTTTTCATAGAACTGGTTTCTGTGAGAAAATATGGCAATTTCAGTGCTTACAATATCAACAATAATATTAGATAAATGTATTAAATAATTCACTAGATCTTACCTTTAGCACGCTCTCGTCCTCTGAATGGCAAGAGCTTTGCAGAGTGACGTCAGCGACCTGTCCCGCTTGCGACACGATCAGCACTTTCATTGCCTGAGACACTTGACGCCCTGTCAGCACCGCCGTGTTTAACACTTCCCAGTTCTGGTAAAATATCAACATATTAAAATCCCACCATCTTAATAACACACAAATAAAATCAAGTATGTACTTAATTTGAGGAGCCTTAATCTATATTCTATTAATTTAGGACTATCCACGAGTTATTATTTTATAGCAAGTTATTTTGGCCCCAGAAAACTCCTAAAGATACCCACTGTTATCATCCCATACAGTTATCTCACTTCCACAGTCAAATTAAAAAGCAATGAGTGAGTAATAAGATAGTAAAGACAGGTGTTCAAAAATGCTCATCAATTTCAAATGTCTTACAAACAGTAGATAATGATGACAAAATCCATTACTCAAAAGTAATAAGCTGATTAACACTTGTGGACGCAACCTTGTACTTAGACAAACGACCGGATAGCTTTACACTATGATTATTTAATCAGAGACATAAGCAGGGGCAGCTAAGTAAGTTACCCACTTTCTCAGAAATAGCTTAAAGTTATACATTAATGTGACCTAGAGAAACAACGAAGTACCAACATTAAACTTATTAGTCTTCACGACTATCGTCTGTCCTAAACGATTGCCTCTAGATAAGATATAGGTGGACCTTGACAAAAACGAGTAATCGAGTCCTCGATAATGAACTCTGTCTATTAATCTCCGGCTACAATAGTTTCGCCGTGCATATAAAACACTCCATCATTCACGTCGTAATTTAATTGCTTTAATCATCTAGTTGGGCGGCAGACAAGGAGCGAGTGCCGAGCGTTCATCCGTCAGTGAGCAGATATGAAGAGGCCCACTCCAGCTCGGGGCGCCCGAGGCCCGAGTTAATGGCCCCACGCTAATATTGAGATAAACTAATTGCTTTATAAATATTATTCTGTAACTTCATTTAAAGCCGCACCGGCGCGCGGTGGGACCGCACACGTCGCTGACGTATGAAAATTATACGGGCGTTCGAAACAATGTGTCTGCGCCACGAGTCCCACGTCCCACAAACCAATTCCCCGATTTAATAGAACGTTTCAAATTAAATTAACGACGAATCCGTTTTACAAGAAATGGAAAAAAGCCAAATTGCTTTTAAAAGATAATATAAACGTGAATCGTGTTATTGAAGTTTGATATAATTTAAATGTTAAAAGATTTCGTTGATCCCTAATTTATTATTGTGACAGACTAATGGCTATAAAATTATTTTGCAAAGAATGGGGCGATTATCCTAAAATATTATACTTTTAAAACAGAGAAAGTTGTATTATTGTTTGTTATCTTGAAAATAAACCTGGTATTTTACGATATCGTGTCATTTTAAATTATGAACTTTCGAGTGAGCCCTGAAATATTTTGTTTAAAAAGTCGCAAATGAATTATGCACAAGAATACCGACTGTGTACAGTGAAGCAGTTATCGCAACAATTTGACGAGGCGAACAAGCAGAGTGCTCGCACTGAGCAGACACAGTGGGCACAGTGGGCGCAGTGGGCGCAGTGGGCGGCGCCGACCCACCATAGCCTCCATTAGCTCGCGATAAAGCTCCCATTACACCACTTCATTCATACTAAGAATGTACCATTAAAAGTTAATCTCAGCTATTTGGTACAATCACTCGCATTACAGACACAATGTTCCAGAAATTAAGTATAATTTAGACGAAAATAATACTACGGGTCCGCAAGTATTATTTTATAAACCCTACAATAATGAGGTGCTGCATCTATTAAACAGTTTTACGCACACAAGGTCGGGTGCTCGGGTCGTTCGCAACGAGCCACTCATAAAACCTTTGGAACCCAATAAAGATATCGTTTTAGTAATAAAAGGGGCTCCCTCTGTTCCATTAATTACTAAGAAAATACCTTTCGGTTAATTTATCGTTACAATCGATGTCTCTATAAATTGTTGATTTCGAGCACCTGTCTCGATAATAGTCGAATAATCGAGTAGATGTCCGTGATTGTAATCACTATTCGCATTTATAACATAGATACGTTTAAATGGAAAGTAAGATAAAACCGTATAGGTGTGAACACCCGTTAATCGTAGTAAATTGGTAGGTAGTAGGCTGTTCATGGGAACATACATCTTATAAAGTGTTCTGCGTTGTGCTTTCACTGGAAGTAGGTATCTACAAGTTGATTTTAATCAAGAGCAAGTCGTGTATCCCTATAAATGTTTTCAACATGCTATAAATCCTGTTTGAATTAATGTTATGGAAATTGTGGAAGATGACGTGATATGGCAACGGTAAACACGTCAATACTTTACCTTAGAGATTGGTAAGACAGCTTGTATGTCATCCTTTTCAATATCCAGTCTTGTGTTTACTCTGTGTTCGTGAGGTGGTTCTTCAGTAGTGGAGGTTGTAGTGGGTGCTGAGGATACTTTGGCCGACCAGCTGATGCGAGCAGTTCCACGCCCTGACTCTCCTTCCGATCCTTCCCCATCGCCTTCACCTTCAGCTCCAACTTCTACCAGCCACGTGAGGATCTCTTCCCAGCCAGGCTCTCCAACGCCACTGCTCTCCTCAGACTCCCTACATCGTGAAATTAAGTTACAATATTCAGTTCATAAAGTTTGTGGGTCTAAAAGCTTTTACTAGATACCTAAAAGGTTGTTTATTGAGGTCGAACATCTTGAAGGTGAACATAACCCGGGTCATAATAAATCAATAGTATTATGTAGTCTTTACTCCTAAAGTTCACGTTCCCTAGGGTATTGTCGCTTTGTGTTTTGCAGTGGAAACACGGAATTATCTAAACAATAAAAAGTTAGTCGTGACATCGGGTTTCATTAAGCGGAAAAGCGCTGACAAAATTTATGGCTGTGCAAATGCAAAGTAGTCGTGGGCGAAATTGTGAACAAATCCCGCCAAAGAAATGAGAAATGGAAACATTCTGTTATAAAACGTGTAGAATAAAAATAAATTTTCATTTTGGTGCGACTGCGAAGCTCGTTAAACTGGAAGTAGATATACCTAAGAGTACCTACACAGATGAATGGCATGGGCGTTTATGAGCACGGTATGACTTGCATTAATTATATAAGAGACGTAACAAAATAATGCATAGGTACTGTGAGTACAGCAGTAAACCGTGTTCAGCTAAGTTAAGCTCAACCTTCGCATGAAACATAAACAGTTCAACTTGAGGACGAACTTGAAGAATACTTAGAAATGGAATGAATTCTTTAAACCCCTCTCGCTGAGCTGACCGGCTTGCTAGAAAGAACCCACTTTATCTACGACCACTCCGAATGCAAGAACATTTTATCGCTAAAATGGAAAAATGTAGAATTGCAGATGGCATTTTCATTTCATTGGATTTATTTTTGAAAATGAAAGTCTTTTTCAATTTTATTGGAATTTATGCCGGTCATTTCAATTTGAAAGCAATTGTTCGCTCTTGTTTCGAAATTTTATCGTATAATTTAACAAGAAAGTTGAAGCCATTTATGTTGCATCCGGATACCTATTTTTTACAGCGGAAAGTGCTAGTTAGGGTTAATCTCTTTGGTCAGGAAACTGTGCTATAAAGTTCTTGAAAGTGGATGTGAAGCATCATTTTCTAGCTTTTAATTTAGTTCATCAACTTCAATTAGTTTAACGTTTGCTGTTGCAAGGAAAATATTTTGTTCATAAAATAAATTCAAGAATAATAATTCGGGCTACTGATGTTTCTGTCAAAATGAAGTACCTACGTCTTTAGTATACCAACTACTTATAGAAACCCGATGCTTTTAGTTAAATTGATTGATAGAAGTAGGCACAGCTGTATGTAATTTCGGAGAAGCTTTCTGATCACAGGATCACAAATTGGGTTCATAATGAGATTACCGATTAATTTATCGATTAGATACTCCTCAATAAACCTTTTAGGTAACAAATGAGGCGGTTGATGTAATTAGCAAGTAAGAAAATGTGTTATACCACACTCCTTCACTCTCTTAGTATTCCCTCAATTGAGTTACGTTCGGCACAGAGTTTTAACCTGATTTGGCTGAATATCATTTACTTGCCTGCTCTGCCTCATCGGCCGAGTGGTCGCAAGTGCGACTGCCGGGCAAGGGGTCTCGGGTTCAATTCCCGGGTCGGGCAAAGTATTACTGGGTTTGTAAAAACCTCAGTAGTAGCACGGAGTCTGGAAATGTGCCCGGAATATGGCAATAGGCTCACCCCCATGTAATAACATGGGACTCATAACATAAATAGTGAAAAGTGGGTGTTACATTGTACAGTGGCATTAAGTGCCGGAATGTGCACCTCTGCCTACCCCTTCGGAGACGAAAGGCGTGATGTTATGTTATGTTATGATCATTTACTTATACGGAACAGCACCAACAACGAAGGGTATTTATGCCACATTCTTGGTTAGAATCAACCTCCGATTTTTGAGCCTCTACAATGCATGATTCGAAAATTAACCAGGGCGTATATACTAGTTACATCCTCGTTTATCGTTTCTGAATGTCAAAATAAACTATATCTTAGAGTAAATGACTTACGTGTCAGATGAGTCGTCGTCGCGCAGCGGTTGTTCGAGCCTTGTAGCTGTGACGGTGGCAGCTCGAGGCTTCACCTCAGCGGTCACTGCCCAGCGGGAGTTGGCAGCGGTCACGCTCACCAAGCGTAGACCAGACTTCACCTTCATTCTATAGAACAAATAAATATTTTAACATTCTCATAAGTTAGGAATCTAAATAAATCCTATTTTTCTATGACGATAGAACAATAATAATTATTGGGTTTGGTGTTGGAATTTCCATAAACATCGATTTGTCATATTCAAGCGTTCCATCAAATCAATCGCGATGACTGATACCTTTATGAATATTGCTATGAATATTGATCGTCCATTGTTGATTACTGGCTTTGTAAAGTACTACTTTACCATGAAGTAACTTGCGTACTAATACCTAAACAATCATTGTTTCCGTTCCCATTTCATTCATCCGTCACTTGCCATACAGTACCTACCTAACGAACGACGTACTACGAGTATGCACATCGTCCGCTCCTAAGTACACTGACACAATTGCAGCTCTTAGAAAACGGATCGTAAAAGTGAAGAGATCAAAGCTTTGTCCAACCAATGCATTCTCTGCATTGACTCAAAATAATTTATTGCAGGCTTTGAACTTGTTTGGTAGCTTTCGCAAAACATTAAACCAATGGTTAGATTAACAAACAAACTTACATAAACACTCCAATGAGTTACGGAGGATCAGGATCACGTAAAACCGCAGTTAGCCAAACTGTCGCACGTTATTGTTGGAATAGTAAAATTTATTTTAATAGCTAAGCCGAAGCCGTAATAAATTTCCATTTAGTTGGTTGCAGTCGTGTATTCCCGAACGGGTGCGACTCGCCTCGTAATTCAAAAGGAGAAACAGATACTCGTATCCGCGATGAAGTTTTGGAACAGGTGGTGCATGATATATGGCATGATTGTAAGGACCCAATATAACTGCAGCGTAAGGCGCACCTACCGAACTATCAAAGAGCACTAAGTGTAAAAAATAAAACTTCACTAAACGCTCCTAGAACTGCATTTCCTGCATTCATATCCGTTCATTTCTTTTGAAATAGACTCTTACCGATATCGACAGGATATTGATTCCATTAGATTCTCTTGCAGCACTTGAAGCGTCGCGTATAAAGATTGCACTAGTGCTCGTTGTGTCAAATCACTGCGGGGTACAGTCGAGCAATCACGGCCGTTTTACACCGAACATCTAGAAATTGTACCCGCAATTTTCTTTTCTGCTTTTATTGTTGACACTTTGTGTTCGAATAAATGACATAACTTGCTGTTATACGTATTCAGTTCTATTTGCAATGCTGATGATTCATTAATTAATCATAATATGTATTAATCAATATAAAATCGAGGACACAGCTAGAACAAGCTTAAACATTTTCAATCAAATAGAATGATTACTCGGAACACTCGATACCTATTAACACGACATTGAACTGGCCTTGAACTAGTTTTATACTTTGTTCTATGTAGATATATTTGTCATCCCTATTTTGCTTATTATCAGTATCGTAAAATGACTATATCTACCTAACCTATACGAGTGTATTTGGCAACTATCATTTTCCGCACGAATGTCAAATTATAATTTAAGCTCCAAATTGTATTAGCAATGTTGAAAAGGATCGCAGTATTCCTGGCAAACTTTGGCCTCATTTGTTATGCTGTGTGAACATTTATCGATATTTAGTGCTTAGTGTTCTTCGAATTTTCGTTCTCCAATGGGTTAGTGCGGTTGTACTATATCACAGTTAGAACGAATAGAATTATACTTAGAAGAACGCTGTAACTCAATATTAGTGCTGAGCTTGCAAAGAATTTGTTCGGATATCTTGCCTGCTTAAAAGAAGAATTATGATCTTTTAGTACTTAGGGAATAGCTAAGCTCTTTGCCTCAAAATCTTATGTAATTTTAAGCGTATTCTCAGCAGTTATTCTTCAAATGTAATATGAATGAATTAATATTGTACCGTCTACTTGAGATTTATATTTCATAATGTAATATTTTCATATCTTTATGGCTGAATATAGTCTGTATTTTCTGAAAAGCTTTTATTAATCTGAATAAATAACTTCAAACGCAAGTTACATGAATTTAAAACAAAGCTCATAAAATAGTAAAACTAGAATAACTGAAAAAGTTTTAATTGGCGCATTGAGGTCGACAGTTTGCAGTGAAGCTGTGAGAAGCGGCCGTTGTTCGGTACTCCAGTAGTACATGTGAACTTGTTTAGTTGGCACCTCATTCGTCCTCAAACCGCTGCAGCGCTCGCTCAAAACTTGCCAAAAGTTACCGCACAACAATACAGTCTGTTTCATCATTTTGTTTGCTTTCTTTACTAAAATATAAACATCACTGTCAGAATCGAATGAATTATATTGTGTTTCTTACTTCCTACGCAAAATAGAAGATGCGGTTGACAAGCAATAAACCAGTCTTGTTGGGCGGAATACCGATAAATATTAGTCAGCGTGACATAACACAGAGATGCGTGACTTGTTCCGTCGTTAACATGAAGTGGCTCATGCATGTCTTGACACTGTAAGTGCAGGTGGAGCTTTATAAAATGCTATGTCCGTGATTAAGAAAGTTTGATTACACTTGGGTGCCAGGGTCAGGAATAAGAAGGAAATGTAAAAAGTTGAAAGTTACCTGATGACCACATGCGAAATTGTGTGGCTTGTATCGCGACGTACTACGAAGGGTAGATGCAGTCGAGAATGAGGATATAATGGCGCCCTGGGCAATAAAAGAGCCGCATCACCGGCTCGAGCTTCCCGATATCCAGCACGAGCTCCAGCCAACGTAACCGAGCCCAGGGGCCAAGCAGGTTGCACAGAGACACGTCCACATGCACCTTCGGCGGACTCTCCACTACCAGCTTCTGCCGCGCTGTAGGCTAATCGCACTGTCCTTGGTGGTCGCTTTCCTTTTCCATCGGCAGGCCACCATGCAGCTGGTACCGTTAGTTCAGCAAGACACGCACCCTCCTCGCCTTCAGGGCCACATGTAGCTGTTAACGTTCGTGTTCCATAACTTGCGTGCAGCGTTATACACACACGACGTGGACGTGTTGCGGCACGCCGTGCGCCGCCCTCACCACCCGTGTGGAACAGAACACGTAGCACTGGAGCATCACGCGGTAACTCCCGAAACACCAAGTGCGCAGAGACGTCAAGTCTGTGAGCAGTAGCGTCTTGCAATTCCGTTAGAGATGCATTTCTTCTAGGTGGTTCTAAAGGGTCGGGCACTGCGTATCGAGCTGGAACCGTTTGTTTAGTGGAGAATGGCCCGTATGTCGCCCGCACTGACGCGGGCGCAGACCCTTGTAGTACCGTAAATCGATCGAGTGATAACAAGGCGCCAGGTAGGGCTGTCCCCATAGGTTCCGGTGGAGGACCTGAACCGCTCCATCTCGCTGTGTGCTTCAGAAAAAATCCACTGTCCTTATTTTCGAAATGTACTTCGACGCCAAGCACCGTTCCTGAAAAGAAAGAAAACTATTTTTAGAACCAATAAAACATTCGTCATCAATTTAGGAATGCGTAACACGTGTAAAATGTTAAGTAAGTGTTTTTATTTTTGGTATTTTGACGAGAGATAAAAGGGCGTTGGAGCAAAACATTGGCGTTGTGCCAACCGCATTCTGTCCTGCAGCGAGATGTCATTTGCGTTAGTTTTATGTTTACAAACACCATCAATATTGTTACGTCAATATAGATGGCATTAGTGTAACGATGCTATAATCGTACTAGTTGCGTTACAGCACCTATCATTAACATGACGAGATCATTGGTAGTGAACTAGGTCATGGTTTATGTTGCCTAAATTTTAAAGTTATACGCTCCTTACCTACGAGATGGTTATGCGAGGATACGTAAATGTTATATGACGGTAATAACAGAAACATTTTATATGTAAGCGAGGAATATAAAAGAGATTAGGTATAAGGAGGCGAGAGTGGTTGTTCTTGTTCCTATGAAGGATGGTCTCGGTGCTCGCGTCACGCAGGCTGCGCGGCTGCGGCGCGGCCTCGTCACTCATCTCGTTTATTGAGCCAGGATTTGTGTCACGTACTTCTTACGGCTCTCTTCAAGGAATTCATTACGCTGCCTATTTACGATTCTCAGCGGTTGGTCTCTTATAAAATATTTTTTTATGTTAAATAATTGAGTTATTTGGTAGAGATTGTGTTTCAAGTTCATGTCTATATTTTTTGTACGAAAAATAAATGTTTACTTTGTATTGCTGTGTAGTGTATCCCTGCGTTACAAAATATTTATCATTTGTTTTTGTAATTGCTAAGAGAACTGAGCAAGGGGTTTATTTGCAGACCTAGAGAGATTTAATATTAATGGAACATTTAAAACATAAAATTAAAGTAGGCGTTAAATTAAGATCGGAATAATTGTAGCTAGCGGTTTCTTGATCACAAAACAGTTTGGTACACGAGCAGACTATTAATTGGTCGCCACGAAATTTCCTGTGAGCGGAAGCTATTGCTTCATTTGCAAGGAAACGGCTGGCAATTCCACGATTACGTAACATTCCTCTAGCAAGGGGAGTAAGGATAATAAAAAGCTTTAGCACGTGACGTTCTTAAGACAAAGAAAAATTTACAAAGCTTGCTAGAGCTTCCTACTTCCTTGAAAAATATTGCACTGGCTTTAGTAGAGCTGCAACATTAAGGTATTTTTACGTTATTATCGGCTTCTTTGTGGCTTCAAACCGAGTGCTAATTACTAAAGCTGGTTGCTAGGAACGTAATGGGCGTCCATTATGCAAAGTCGTATTGATTTTTGCATTCCTAACTAGATGTTATCGATCCGGGTACATAATGAATATTCAATAAGGTTTTTACAAAAATAACGAGTTGGAACGCTACTCTTCTTCAAACACAGCCACACCCGAGAAAGGTTTTTAAGCTTTAACAAGGTTGTATGGAATGTTTCCAATGCCCTTTTACAGTTGGAAATTATTTAAACATTTATCACAATCTGTCCCAATGGTGTAACAAAAAGATGTGCTGACAACCCATTTGCATCATAATGGTAGCAATCTAATCAATATTTTAATAAACGTTATTGTCCGTAACGGTTTCCATACATTTTAATTTTCCCCTGGACGCGGTCGCAACAAAAAGAGAACTTTCGCGAATTGATATCGCGTTTTCCGATCGCACCCTCGACTGTGGACAGCGCGGGCGGGGGAGGGGAAGGGCAGGTCGGGGACAGGGGACTCGGGACACGTAGCGGGTGTAATAACTGCCACAGAACTAAATCCTTAGATATGGCTCACGCGTGTCCCCTCCCACCGTCTTTATCACACTGACCTTCCAATAACTCGTATTTTCTATATACATATTCATGGAATATACATTATTCCCAAATATTCAGCTCTTATTTTTATTGTTACTACAGTCCGGACCGTTGTAGATAGAAGAGAAAACCCTATTGGACACAAATACCTCAATATTTCTTTTATCATTTTCTATAGTAGACAATGTTTCGATAATGTTGCCAAAAAATGGGTTGGTCTGTCTTTCAGACCAATTTCTTTTAGAGACGATCAAATGGGCACTATTTCCCAAACTGTATCACCTTATCATTTCTCGACCTTAGTATTATTTGGAGTTTGAAGTAAGTAAAGTAACTGGTTTCTTGAAGGCGATAAGATTATTCGGTCCCTATCTTATATTTTGGCATAGTTTTCTCGTTTACTTTAGAGCTTTTCCAAACTCTTCACAGTTGTATGTGCACATCTAAGCCTACAGTTACTGATGGTATTTGCACTTTCCTTCCGTTGCATATGGTTAGTTTTTGGTTCAAAATTTTCATGTGTCTTTTCGTTTTGTATTTGATGAAAGAAAACATTTTAACAACGTACGGAGGTGTATACATTGTAAATAAATATTGCTTTCTGCTTGACTAGGGTTTCATCTCTCAATGATTGAAGAATTAACATCAGGAGAACTCTGTGAACAATTTCCTTCGGTAATCATAATTATAATGTTCACGTTATTTTCTCCCATAAAATGATTTTCATCTAACAGATTCAATTGATGTTTTTCCGTGTGGGCGGGTTTTACAAAAAGCTTGAAGCGAAGTGAATAATGTATATTAATATAATAATAATAATGAAATTTCGTTTTAAAATCTTTTCATAAATGAAGCCATATCCTTCCATCAGGGCCTTTGTGTTGCTTTATTAATACAACGTCGTATTCATTAACCCGTACATTTTCAAAATTAACAGCAACGTCGGCTGTGTTCGCTGATACACGTAGTGATAGCCGTACGCTAGATAAAGCCTCATTGAGGGGTAATAAAGCGGACACGGGCGCGGTAATGTGTCGGACTTCATTAACGGTAAATATTTGTTCATTTGTCATACTGTGTTGCCAATGGACATCACTTTGACGTGAACGAGACCGCTGCTTTTACATAAACGCCGAATAAACCCACATTTTCAGTTAAATGATTTATTAAACACACAAGCTTGTCTCGTTAAAAAGTCAACTGGGTTTTACCCTCGTAGCTCTTATCCTGCTAAGCCTTTGGGATAAAGGGTACTTGACGTCATAGGTTTTTCGTGGTTCCGGAATATTTTAAAGCTTCCTAGCACAACACGAGGGGCGGCGCGAAATAACATCGATTGTACTCGACCTGTATTGTGTAAAAGCTTTACAATTTTTAGGGGAAAATTGCATTGCATGTAGAATGTAATAAAGACCGTATAATGGTATAGCTGGGAAAAATCCCAACAAGTTATGAAGACATAAACGTTAGGTAAAAGTAACGGTTCGCTCATTTGAAAATCTCAATTAAATTGAAAAGGGTGTAAGCAAGGTATATCTAATGAACGTACCACAAATATTTGATTTCTTTCGTAACTCAAATAGGAATCCTAAACAAACAATATGAAAGGTCTCTCTTAAAAACACTGCGGGATTTTTTAAATTAACTTTTAAATGTGGTTTAATTAACATTGCTGTAGCGGTGCACTCTACAGACTAATATTTGTAGTAATTAATTGAGGTTGCCTTTGACTTGTGTATAAACAAATATTCTTTACCTCGACTTTCTATGGAACGACTGTTTCTTTTATTTATCAGTTGGTTTTCTACAATTCAGAGAATTGTCAATGTTGTTACACCTATTTTTTTTTTTTTTTTTTTTTTAAGGGGGGAAAATCATCGAATGACTGCTCCCGCCTGGGTGAGGCGAGAGGAAGTGTCAGACACCTATTAGATTATGTGTAGCTTAACTATTTGAACTTTATTTAAGTCTGTTGGCGGAATTTTCATCATTAGTTACGTTTAGAATGTCACTTTGCTCACAAACCAATACCGTACTCTAGAAAATTAAATAGATGTGTTCCAAACGCATAAGCTCCAAAATCCTTTGATAAAAGTCATTACATCAATCTATTCTTAGCTTTTGATTTCTTCAGCCATCAATTGTGACAACATTTCATTACTTAGCTCCCTAAACTGCCATCAGAGTACAATGGTGTACATTAGTGCCAAATTGATGTCCATTGATCAGCTTGCAGGACGTTATATGGGTTTAATCAATAATGTCCCATCTACAGGTTGTCATTGTTGCACGAAACTTAAGATCCGAAGTAATCTCTATTATAGTTTTAACTGGTTTTTAAACCTTTTGAGAGAGTTTGGAAATATATGATATTTCACTCCTGTGTTTCGTCCGTGAAAGACGCGGCGGATCAAAAGACCAAAAGACTGACAATGGGTTTGACCAATCATGTTGTATCATCAATAGCTTCTATCCCTTCGAGTCAGCTGAAGTTAGATATCCGGAATAGGCCTTATGCTAACTTCTAATCTTTGATAAATGAAGGATATATTTTCATTTATGCCTTTTTAAGGGGGGGGGGGAATCATCGAATGCCTTCTCCCACCTGGGTGAGGCAGTGTGAGTGTCAGACTTTTATTGACTAAAACCACGCTGTTCCTACTCCTGCCCTTCGAGACGGAGCCCCGTTAAGTCCTCCGCTGCTCCGTATCGGCATCAGCCCTATTGGGCCCCATCCATGGTGGTCTGATGGTTCTTTGAGGCTTCGTTTATGCCTAGGATTTTGATTCTGTAATAACTACATATACTTAGTAGTAGTACTACTCTTTAGGTATTATGGAGATGTAAATGTCTAAAGTTTTATCAGTCAACAATGGTATCTAGGGAATAGTTAAAGCTAAGTAGTTTTCTTAGTTCAATAACAAGAAACTTAGTATTTACCCCTCGAAACCACAGTGGTATAAGATTATATTAAACGAACATGATCATGTAAATTGATATGATTTAATAAATTCTGAGTATAACATGCTAGAAGTTGACTATCACATGATGGGTCTATCCACATTTTCCTATCCAATGCTTCAGTGAACACAATAAGTAACGTGACTCTTTCTGCATAACAAATTTTATTTTTCCTCGAGAAAATGTGTTTGCATTATCTTCTTTCCTCGTGTGTACTGTGTATAAAATATATTA